CCGAATTTCTTTGAAACAGGAACTAATATTACCCCTGTAAATGAGGTTGAACAACATGACAAGATTTTTTTTTAATCCAAAATACGGATCCGCTGCTGCTGAGAGTTGCATTACAATACACAGGCAGGAAATACGAAATTCCGTTGACGTATTTTCATTCGTTATATTGAAGTTAAAAAGCAAAGTACATTTATATTGGAGTTGATGGTAGTTTTTTTAAAGTCTGAAATACGAAATTCAGATACGGAATCCGTTAACGGAATTCGTATTTCGTTTTGGTTGACCAATCAGAGGTTCTCTTCTGCTGCTGAGAGTTGCATTACAAATACAGGCAGGGAATACGAAATTCCGTTGACATATTTTCGTTCCGTTACGAACATTCGTTATAACGAACATTCGTTATATTGAAGGTAAAAAGTAAAGTTATATTGGAGTTGACTTGATGGTAGTTTTTTTTTAAGTACGAAATACGAAATTCGGATCCGGAATCCGTTAACGGAATTCATATTTCGGATACAAAAACAACTACCACATAGACTCCAATATTAACAAAGGTATTTTTGCTTTTTAACTTCATCATAACGAATGTTCGTAAAGTTACGAAAATGTGCCGAAACTAACGAAAATCCGTATTTCGTACGAATCCGAATTGATTTTCGGATACGAATTACGAAATACGAAATAATGGATATTACGAAACGGAACGAAACGGAACAAATTTTTTGACGGCGCACAAGTCTACTACTTAACTAGTAAACCTGACTACCTCTTTACCAACTTTTGGGCATACTAAATTAGGTTTTGGATATCCATAACACACCAAGTGGACAGATAGAGTCTCTAAATATGCTACTGAAGGCAACATCCAAGGGGGCTAAGAGATATACAGGGTTATTCACAGAAGGGAGAAGAGTGTGGAGAAGACAGGAGAAGTGAACAATCTAGGATAACATAGCTGAACTGGAAAGTGAGCTGAATTGGAGAATTTTTCCAAATCAGCCATGTTGTCCTAGATTGTTCACTTCTCCTGCCTTCTCCAAACTCTTCACCCTTTCGCGAATAACCCTGATAGTGTACGTGGATTATATAGACATTGGTTGTTGATTTCTTTAGCGTGGTCTTCTCCTATCACCCTGAGGGCAGCAGCCTCACCTCCTTGCTCATCCAGCATCACCAGGGTCCGAATTCCGGCATCTTTACTCTGTCAAGAAACACAGCCATTAGATAAAAGCTTTATAAATGATCCATGCTGTTAGCCTGGATGGGGGAATCACACTGATTCTGGTTTTCAGGTAACCTCTGGTTATCCTTTTTTATCATGTGCTCTACTTGAGACATTCGCTTATTGACGGGTTTGATTTAATGTTTCAGCATGCTCACTGCTAGAAGATTTCTGCAGTCAGTATTTCTTCACTGCTTCAAAATATTAATTCCATATCTATATAATTTTAACAAGAGATGTTCGTGACATGTAAGGCTTTAAAGACCAACTACAGATAGATATCTCATTGAGGCAGATTGGTGGTGACCAACTATTGCTGTTTTCTTTCACATCTGGTCCTAGTTATATCCAGGCCCACAACACATTCAAGAAGGGAAAATAAAATGAAAAATACTGGCAGATTGGTAGTGGATCCAGGTTTATTTGTGAATATCCATTGAATCGTCTCAAAATGGTTTACTCTTATAAAGGTGTGAACAGAAAATGTGGTAGTGTGTTTAAATGTCAGGCTTGCATTCTATACCAGGTTCAGCCTGTAACATGACATTGCCCCATCATTCAAGTCATATTTATCAGCCATAGAGTATCTCACCTCTTCCACCAGCTGCACCATGCGTCGGGTAATTTCCAAAGACTAAAAGAGAAAATGTCCAGTTAGAACTCCATTTCATCCTTCCATACAGCACAAACATTTCTATCAGTAATCTTTTTCTGGAGCTATTAATGATAAATGTCATTCAGTTCAGTATTTTAAAATATCTTCTCTGTAGCTAAAAGCTCTTGGTAGATTTTGAAATCTGGCAAATTACATGTTAATCATGTGAACATCTGTGTGAAGATCCAAACACTGGTAGATCTTGATTCAGGGTAGGGACCTTTCCATGCCTGATAGCACTAAGTTGGGCTGTCAGAGGTTGAGGTTAGTATTAGGGGTTAGATTAGGGCAGGGGTCAGCAACCATTTCCACAATAAATGTCACTGTACAAGCAATAGACATCTGACATGCCAGTGAACAATAGCGTGCTGTAGACCTCATATCAGCCCCAATTCCCGCACCTTCAGACCACTGATCAGCCCCAATTCCTGCACCTTCAGACCTCTGATCAGCCCCAATTCCTGCACCTTCAGACCTCATATCAGCCCCAATTCCCGCACCTTCAGACCACTGATCAGCCCCAATTCCTGCACCTTCAGACCTCTGATCAGCCCCAATTCCTGCACCTTCAGACCTCTGATCAACCACAATTCCTGCACCTTCAGACCTTTGATCAGCCCCAATTCCTGCAACTTAAGGCCATAGATCATTCCCAATTCCTGCAACTTCAGGCCATAGATCAGCTCCAATTCTTGTACCTTCAGACCCCAGATCAGCACCAAATTCTTCACCTTCCAAACTCAGATGAGCCCCAATTTTCACACTTTAGGCCTCAGAGCTGCCCCAGTTTCTGCAACTTCAGACCTCAGATCAGCCACAATCCCTACACCCTTGGACCTAAAACCAGCCCCAACTCTTGAACCATCAGGATGCAGGGGGTTTACATTAATTCCTGCTGCAGCTGGTGGTTTCACTAGAAATAGGAAGAGGGTAGATGGGTGGGCTTCTTCATATAATGCCCTCTGTAGTCATAGGCAGGTCTAAGCTGGTACTATCAGATGGGCCGACTCCTGAATGTCAGCAACGTCAACCAGGCATCTGAAAGGTCATAGAGGTATGTGAGCCACAGAGCTGTCAATTACAGCCTAAAGCAGTGGCTCTGTATTTGTATGGAGCAGGGGCCTAGTACATACCTGCACGCATGCCATGTGACAATATTCAAGGGTGCCACTGAAAATGAAATAGTGTGCCGGCCCTGCCACTTGTGCCTTAGGTTGTCTATCCCTGCAACAGGGAATAAGATTAGGTTGAGTGTTCAAATGAAACAGCATCCAAATGCAAAAGTGTTTTTGGCAGGCTGACAACTCTACTGCTAACTGTGAGAACAGATGTCTATTGGGCAGGTGTCAGAGAGAACTGAAACTGGTGCCTAATCTCCTTGGTGAAGACACAAGCACAATAAGAGCTAATGAGTGAAGAAGGTTTAGAACCTCTGTCAGCATTTTATTGATGTCTGTGCCCTAAAGAATGAGATTTTCCTTAACTTCCTGTCCAGGGGGGAATATAGACTTTAGTAGAAGTTCTAACCCTTCCCAACTCCATCCAAAACCAAAAAAAGTTATGACTTTTAAGCTTTAAGTTGAGCATTATATTTTAGGTTATGGGAGAGGCAGAATTAAATGTTAGGATCAGCTTTGGGGTCAAGTAAGGTTGGGGCTCAGATTATGCAGGGGAACACAAAAATCACCACACTTAGATCTACCATCACTTGCTTCCCGGGGCTAAAAATCCCCCTTCCAGCAAGAATGATCGTATAGGTAACACATAAGTGCATTGTAAGAAATGCCATTAAAGGGGAACTACAATATTGTAGAATTTACCTACAAGTAATTTTTTGATGTTGACATGCTTGATGTCCAAATTTCCAGCACTGCACTATATATAAAAATGTGTAAATCTATAATAGCTTTCTCTACAAACTATAACAACATCACGTTGAAATATTACTAACATGAAATGGGCCCCCTTCAGAAAAAAATAATCATAAAATAGACTAAAGTTACGCCATCTGACCCGTAAGATCTGCTTGTCAAGATCACAGATATTAACATTCGAGAATGGTCCATGAACTAAATAGGGGAATCTTCTTCCAGCACAACAAGAATGGAAATAAGGAAAATTTCACAAATCGAACAAAGCTGAGATCTACATAACAGTTCAAATATGCCTATTTCATCTTAAACTCCGTCTCGCCTAGTAAATATAGGAAATCTTTGGTTTCCTTTATGCTTAGTCACTAATACCCAGATATTAGAGGACAACTCGAATACCCTCAATATCCAAATGGTTTACAAAATTAGACTCTACTAGACTCCTAGAAGAATTGTTGTATTCTAGTCAGGATGATTATGCCTCTTTCTATAAAATCTGGGCAAGCTGGTTGAACTTTAAGGCCTCAGATACATACTGTGTTCATTTATCGATCCAATTAATTTTCATTTACTTTCAAAATTGTATCATAATATGCGATACATCTTATAGTTCTCACTTATGGGTAACATCCATGTACTTTACCATAACCAGAGTTTGTATATGTCTGTGTCATTTATCATTCCCCGTCTAATTGTCTTCCTTCCCTTTTGTTCCAATCCTTAATATTTTTCTTATATTATTGGACATGAGTGTTCTTATCTCATACATGCCCTTTTCAATAATTGTTCAATAATCTTTGAATATCTTTATGTGATTTATGTTTTTGTTTAAATCTCAAAGTGTGATATACACAGGAACCTGTGAAATATGACATAGTTGACAAGGCACAAGTACTTCATTTTTCTTCAAGGAACAGCAAGTTGTAATTGTAGAATTTACAATTCTCCAAAGGTGTGATATTCATCATTGCCCACTAGATGACACCAGGATTCCAGACAAGACATTCTAATGATTTACTCAACACATTTCCCATCAACTGAGATCAAGTCTTTCCAATTAGATCTCTTGACAAATGACAATAATCTTAATGAATAATTTACTACTTTGTTCAGGTTTCTACAACACCCTGTACTTGTTCAATACTGCTTTAATGAAGACTAATTTTATTAGCATACAGATGGTTACGCATTCTGTTTCATACAATAGGTCAATGGCATTTATCAGCCACTCTGTTATACTTTACATTTCATAGACAAAAAGTAGATTTTTGGTGGACATTTTGACAAGGCACTGCTTGTCTTTCTTAAACCAAAAGTAACACAGAGCTCTTTCAATGTCTGTACACTGAGATGGCTCTTTTTGCTCTGGATAAAAAATTGAAAGTAACCTTCAGAAGCCTGTAGTTTAGAGTCCAATAAGAACCCCAGCTATTCTTGTTTGAAGGAGAACTATGAGGTGAGTGAAAATCACTCATGCTCATAGTTCGAGCCGACGTGTGACAATGAAACTGTCAAACGGCTCAATAGATCGGGGAAGTGAGCGAACACATACCGTCGTTTGCTCACTTCTCGATCATGTCCCTGCAGAGAGCCATGACTGTCACTCACGGCTCCCTGCAGGGATTCCCCCCTCCCCTGTCTTATCCTCCAGCGCTGACTGGCGGAACGGATATGGGAGGGCGTGGGTGTAGCTGGCTCTGCCTCTAGATAGGCAGAGCCAGCTGTCAATCACGCAGCTGGGTGGATATCGACAGTAATGTCGGGATCCGTCCCGGCTGCGGCGGTCTCAGCATACCGCGAGCTGTAGCTCGCGGTATACTGAGCTTTGGGTCACGGGAGGACGCAAGTTTGTGTCCTCCTGTGACCCTGAGGAGAACTATGGGGAAAAGTATTGACCCCCATAGTTCTCCTTTAAGCCCTAAAGAAGGGGGATTTGTTGACCCTACAATGCATTGGGTACTGTTTCTTCTTCATGTTGTCAGATCTTTATCAACAATTAAAGATTGAGGACTCTCAAGCTGATGCTTTGGTGCTCAATGTTTGGATTCTACATTAATATTTTGTAGTGTAGATGATTTATTTATGTATTATTCCCCACCTCAACCTAACCACTGAACCATCACATTCTCAAACAATTCCTCCCTACATAGCTACCTCCTCATGTATCACTGGTCCCTCCCTTTTTATCCCCTTACCATCTTGTCTTGAATTGTATTGTGATTGTAATGCCTTCCTTATATTGTAAAGAGCTGCGTAAACTGTTGGCACTATATAAATCCTGTATAATAATAATAATAGGGCTGCAACAACTAATCGACATAATCGATTATAATCGATTATTAAAAAAGTTGTCAACTTTTTCAATAATCGATTAATCGAATTCCGACCAGTTGGCCCTGTTCACAGCTCCACACGCTGTACGCCGCACCTCCTCCCCACCTCACGCTCGCCGCTGCCAGACCCGCTCGCATCCACGCTCCACGCGCCGCACCTCCTCCCCGCCATACAGTTTTCCCACCAAAGCATTTTCTCAGGCAGGAAAATGTCATAGAATGTTTATTGGGAGAACAATAGGGAATCCGATGACATTTTCTTCTTTTGTGCCCAAGGTGAATCTCCTGAATTCCTGTGCTGGAAAGCATACTGTAGTATACAGGGCACTTCACCACACAAATGAGCAGACTAGTTGGATCATCTATAATGTTCTTTATAAATATGCTTAGTGCAATGGCAGATTCTCCCTGTGCTTGGTGCTCACAACTCCTTCAAGCTGTCACCCACCTCATCAGTGACCTGCTCCAGGCGCCGTTTCAGCTGCAGTTCACTGTCGAATCGCCCCTTATTCTCCATCTTAGTCTAAACTGTTCTGGAGATAAAACATTGAATTAAAAAAAAAAGGATAATAAGAATAATAGAAAAAAAAATCACCAGGATACAGCATTAAAAATGTCACTGGTACACAAAAATGCAAATAGGTAGCATTGAAAAGATTTAGGTTGGGACAGCATGGTGGTGAATAGAAATGACAAATAATAGAAAGAGGAACACGTAGATGTGTTGGCTTCCGTCGTGATTTATGGTCGGAACTGTCTGCAAACATCTAAATCTCAGTTTATTATTCATATGCAGATCAGAATTTAGAATTCCTGCAAGCTAAAGAATGACTGAAGGCTCAGTCCCTGGTTGCTACGCAGGTACAGAAATGATATAAATATCAGTTTTCCCCAAAAACTTTATCTCATCTCACCCTGAATTAAATGGATACACAAAACAAAAACAAAATTGAATGGGACTTTTTGAGATGAGAAGACAAACCACAATAAAGTTGAGACAGTTTTAAAGGAATTTACAACATTTTTTTTATTAACATAGAAAACATTAAAATATCCATGAACACTCTTGAAAGCAAATCACAATTGCTGACAGAGAATTATAAAAGTCTTGAGGAGTAAGACTAATTAGTTGCATCTATTTATACAAAAGCTATAAGGTACCAAGTACTAGATGTTTATAAAGTGATTTCAGCAATGTTCAATATTTCCACCTTCAACGTGTTTCATGTCATCGCATCATTAGGAAGGTGAGTGAAGTAATCTATGGCTTGCAAATACCAGACTGCAGGAGCCACCCCAGAATGCAGGGAGCCAGGAAGGATGCAATCCAGTGCGTTCCACCAGCTGAATGTGCTGAAAGGCACTGGAGCTGGGGTGAACAAGTCCTGAATGCTGATCTATACTTTGCACTGATCTGTCACATCTACCCTGCTGATATCCTCCTCCTCTGCCCCTGCTGTGATCCTCCGCATCTGTCCCTGCTCTGATCCTCCGCATCTGACCCTGCTCTGATCCTCCGCATCTGACCCTGCTCTGATCCTCCGCATCTGCCCCTGCTTTGATCCTCCACATCTGTCCCTGCTCTGATCCTCCACATCTGTCCCTGCTCTGATCCTCCGCATCTGTCCCTGCTCTGATCCTCCGCATCTGACCCTGCTCTGATCCTCCGCATCTGACCCTGCTCTGATCCTCCGCATCTGACCCTGCTCTGATCCTCCGCATCTGCCCCTGCTTTGATCCTCCACATCTGTCCCTGCTCTGATCCTCTGCATCTGTCCCTGCTCTGATCCTCCGCATCTGCCCCTGCTGCGATCCTCCACATCTGCCCCTGCTGCGATCCTCCACATCTGTCCTGCTGCCATCCTCTGTGTCTGCCCCTGCTCTGATCCTCCACATCTGTCCCTGCTCTGATCCTCCGCATCTGTCCCTGCTTTGATCCTCTGCATCTGTCCCTGCTCTGATCCTCCACATCTGCCCCTGCTGCGATCCGTCACATCTGTCCTGCTGCCATCCTCTGTGTCTGCCCCTGCTGTGATCCTAAACATCTGCCAGTGCTGCGATCCTCCACGTCTGCCAGTGCTGCGATCCTCCACATCCGCTCTGGTGAGACCCTCCGCATCTGCCTCTGCTAAGACCCTCTGCCTGAGACATCAGGCCCGGCACCCTGGAGCAGAGCAGTAGCACAGAGTATGTAGCAAATTCATATACTATTCTGCATTGCTGTATAATGTTTTGCTGGGATTTGCAGTTCTCTATAGCTGATGGTATTATTGTCCAGTGGCAGAACTATCTGGGTCTCAGTGGTTGCAGCTGTGAATGGGCCCTGGCACTCCACCACTGTCCTAAAATGATTAGTTTGTATTGTTTTAGAAAAACTGTCACATGACACTAAAAAAAAAGGTTATCGGTGATTGCTTTTGTCAAGTACTTAAGGAAAAGTATCGGTACTAGAAAAATGGTATTGCTGCATACCTACTCCCATCCATGCCCATACCGAGGTACAGACATGTGGTAACATGGATGGGAGGCAGAGTTTATGGACTACAAGTGCGGTGGGAAGGCAGCCGTTTGAAAACGTCGGGGGCGCAAAAATGCACCTTCGCCTGTGTAGGCAAAAATCCTTGCACTGGCCCTGCTGAACAGGGAATGATGTAGAGCACTTCCTGTTTATTCATAACTGGGGACACAGCATACCATGCCCACAGTTATTTACAAACACTCAGTGATCAGCTGATCGCTGTATGCTTGTAAGCCGCTCTCCATCCTGACTTGCCTGTGTGTATAGGTGCGGGAGGACAGCTCAGCCTCCTGACAACTGACAGTTCACTGCTCCCCGCTCTCTATCCTGACTTTCTGCCTGTCACAGGAGCGGAGCGGGGCGGTGCAGGAGAACAGCTCAGCCTCCAGTGACAGCTGTCTCCACCTCAAACTGCCCCACTCTGCTTCATGAAACCTTCTCGGGCGGGGGCGAGCAGCAGCCATCAGAGGGGACACAGACCAGCGCCCAGCAGGGAGGAGAGAAGCAGTCAGGATGCACAGAATTGTCGGACGTGTTTTTGGCCATTATGGGCCAGCATTGAGCCCAAAGCACCATTTTCGGTCAAAATGTTTTTTGCGGCCAAAATTTTGGTGCATCCCTAATTAGAACCCATTTCATTTTTGTATGGCTGTCTGTGTCCCAGCTATGTAGATTCACCCTCTGTTTGTCCTGGAGATCATTATCACTGAGACAGAAAGTGAGGGGAAATCCCAAACCTGACAGCTGTAACCGAAATAACAGCTGAGAGGAAATCTTCCAATGGGGACAACCAGGAGAATAATCGCTCTCACTTTGTAAAGATTTCTTCTCACTTCCTGTTGCATCTCTGGGACAGAAGTGATGGGTAATCTCCCCACAGGACACAGACAGCAAAAAATATACAGAAGGAAGATTTAACCCATCCCTGCTCTATCCAAAAAAATGTTTTGGCTTTACATAAACTTTGGAGCATAAACCCAATTTTTTTTTCAGTATTTCTGGCATCATGTCAACATTAAACTATGATTTTGCACAATTGCCACCGTCCCGCCTTACGCAATGAAAAAGCGAACTTTTTATGTAGTGTGCTCCTGTGCTCACTTCCTCTATTCTTGCCTTGGATGCGTTCCCTGCACTTAGTGCACCCTGGGATACACGTTATATACTCTAGGAGGCATCGACTTACACACACAGGGCTGGAGGTGGCGGGACCTGGCACATGTCATCAGAGGGAGCGGCTGTCTGAGCCAGAAAGAGACAGCTGGCTTCCGAGGATGTCATAAAAGAAGATGGTGGTGCAGGACCAGGTGTGCAGTGGTGGAGCAGTGGATCACTACAGAGTAAAGCTGCATTCGCTGGGTGGGTATGCTAATTAAAGATAACCCAATGAAAAAGGTAAGTAGGGGTTGAAATGTTAAACAAAGGGGGTGAAGGTCCTTTTTGTGCAAAACATTTTTTTTTTATTTGTTGCAAAGTATCTTATCTGGAGATCCTGCCAGTAAAGGCTCTTCCAGGCTGACAGCACTAAGCCTGCCTTGTGCATTCCTTTAGTTGGCCATTGGGCGGCCTGATAGGCAACAGCCTACTCAAGTAGCATACGTGGCAGCATGACAACACTGCTGCTAAATTAAAGTAACAGTGGCTTAGTGTTGTCGGCCTTCAGCAGGAAGTGTTTTTACCAGCAGGATCTCCAGGTGAGAAACTTTGCAAACTAAGGAACTCCATACCCTAATCTGTTGCTCCCTTATCTCCTACTTTGTCCACCTTTAAACGATCATGGAAAACTCAACTATTCAGGGAACCCTATCCCACCTCCGCATAATAACTTCTTCCATCACCTCATCCCTCAACGTTAGTGGCTTTTGTATCACTTGCCCCATCCAATAGATTGTAAGCTCTCATGAGCAGAACCCTCCTGTATTGAGGTATATTGGAAATGTAATCTCCCTTTATTTTGTAAAGTGAAATGTTGGTGCTATATAAGTTTTGTATACTAAAAATTATTCACAAAAATGATTTAAGAAAAATGTATACAGTGACACATGATGCCAAACGTAATATAGATTTTAGCCTTACAGATGATGGTATGATGATTGAACACTATAGTCTCATTAGGGTTGCCACCTGTCCAGGATTCACCCGGACAGTCCAGGTTTTGAATGCTGTGTTCGGGTTTCATGGCAGCAGAAACCCGGACACATGATGTCAGGCAGACAGGGGGCAACCAAAATTAAGATAGGGGCTACTGGCCCCCCACTGAAAACAGTCTCAACTGTGATATTTACATATGAATGGGCGGCACTATTTACATATGAATAAGCTACGACTTCTTCTCCCCAGTGTTCGGGTTTTCTCTTGAAGAAAAGGTGGCAACCCTAAGTCTCATACTGTATCTCTTCTTTATTCTCATTGCCTCATTTAGGATTTCCCTCTCCTTTCCTGGTCTGCACTCAGGAGTTAACGCAGAGCTCCGGCATTGTAAGGCAGAACACTTTCTCCACAGTTGAGACTGCTTGCTGCGAAGATTAGGAAGGATTTATGTTTCTTTTTTTGTATAAGCACAAGCACCTCAAAGCTCCTCTTTTTCCTAAACTCTAAGCCTGTTTCTTTGGCTTAGTGAAATAGCTTGGGTCTCTCACAGCAGATGTAGAATAAGAGTCGTAAGTTCAACTCCGTCCTACAGTGAGATGATTAAATTCATGGTGCCAATGAAAAGAATTAGGAAATCACACAAAGGTTTAATTAGACATCTAGAGCCGTAACTGAACTGTAGATTTCATTTCTGTACAGCATTTATTTCTCAGGGATACTGGATGAATGAACCCATGGCAGACGTGTTCCTTGCTTCATTCACAAAAATGTGCTCTATAACAGTTTAGGTTTCTGGAGCTGTATGAAGTTTTATGATTTTTATTACATTCTTCAGAGCCATATTTTATGCATAGAAGTTGGATGTGAACCTTTAATGCTCGCTATAAGGCTACCATGGTGGGCCAAGTCGAAATTTCACTGTGTCAGATTCGGTGCAGTACACCACAAAATGGGAACACAAAGTTTACATTCATGTGCTGGCAGCACCATCCCTATAATGAGGCGGTGTGACACTGTTGCCTCAGGCGGCATCTCTTTGGGTCACATGGGGGGGTGGGCTCTGGCCAGAGCGTCCCAGGTTGCTAAGAGCCGGGCAGGGAGATGTGTAAGGCCCCTTTTCCATGGCCGGTCCAGTCCAATCGGGTCTGCCTGTCAGTTTTTCAGGTGGATTGATTGCAAGTCAAGAAAAACAAACAGAACAGTGTTCTGTTTGCCGGACTGGATTGTGCTGGATCGGGGGTAATCTGATATAAATGTGATATAAATGGACACATGTCAGTTTACATCCAATTCTCCATAGACTGATAGCGGTGACATGCGACCAGTACCTGGAGCCTATCACCCCTGGAAGCCAATTGTGTGTGCCCAGGGGTGATAGTCCACAGGTAATCCGATTACATGCAAAGCACCCTTGGGCATTGTCAGCTGGCATTGCTCTATATAGCTCTTACCACCTGCAGATGTTCGCACGAGTCTCACAGAGCAATTTGTGAGACTTACCAAATCTGCCCCATTTGCAAGAGTTTGAATGTGGTCCTTAAAGCTACCCATCAGAACCTAAAGATCCAGATTTAGGTTCCTTGCAAAAGAAGAGGAGGTATACCCACCTCTCTGGCAGCCTGTGTCTCCTACCTCCCTTTAGCTTCAGCACTGCACACTCCATAAAGCACTTCAGCATTTAATAGTTTGGGGAGTGTTGGATGCCTTTGTCCTTCGTCACATGCTGTTTCTATCCTCCGACTCACTACAATCACTGATGTGTCCTGCAGTGACATAGGGGTTAGAGGAACGAAACATGGTGCACGGAGAAGGAAAAAGGCATTTAGCTCTACAAAAGGTGTCCAGTACTGAAAAGTCTGACCGAGTCTCCTTGTATTGAGGGATGATAGGAGACACTCTGTGCCCAGCTACATAATTTTCCCTTTACATCCTGTCCCAGAGACACAAGAATTGAGAGGAAATCTCTCCATAGTGAGGGGAAAACACTTCTGTTGTCACTGGAATTTATATCAGAACGGAAATATCCCCCTCTATTCTAGTTGGTGACAACTGTAACTTTGGATTTCCTATTACTTTCAATCCCAATGACAATGGTCACTGGGACAGATAGAGAGGGTGGCTCTTCCCAGAAGTGGATACTGAAAACCCCATGGGGTACTGTTTGACAACAGGTGCAACAGTTTGCCTGTGATCCCATTAGCCAGAAACCCCCCCCCCGAGTACCTCTGTGATTTAGTTTTAGAGGATGGGACCTTTCGTATGAACTTGTGTTCCAGTACCTCCACTCCTTGTAACTGGAACTCCCCAACTGAGATTCCTTATTCCCAATGTATTTTTTTTTATTCCCTAACAATAATCTCCTCATATTTGGTACCTTTGGACTGTTAAATATACAATTTTTTATATCTGTTCAATATGTGAAAAAAATACCTGTTGATTGTGTCCAAAATTGTCCTGTGTCCTGTTCACACTTCCTGTGTTATTAGAAGGAGTCTAACGTGTTCCCCCTTAATTACTATCATGGACTACTCATGCATGAGTGGGACGGTTTAGGCAGTTTACCAAAAGACAATTTGGCAGGTTTGACACCACTCAGTCCACAAAAAATGCTGTTTGTCATCACCCTCAACCGGATTTCGTATCTAAGTGCATTGCTAGAAGATCAGCAGGTATTTTTTATGTACTGGCAGGGTCTTTAATGGAAAAAAACTTGTGGAAATGTGTATATAGTGCAGAGATGTGCCAGATGTGGTTTTTCTTTTTTTTATTGCACTGACAAACACTTTGAATAAGGGCAACCTAGTCCTGCAATGTTTTTTCTTAAGCTTCACTGCAGAAATTGAGGAGTAAGTGGAGTACCCAAAGTTACAGTTTGTTGTTTTCCGATTTTCTGGGATCAGCTAGAACACATTCTGTGAAAGTTTTTAGCCATTGACCCATAGACAAAGCCCAGGTTAGACATGGCACAGTTTGGCTTTGAATATAGGCATGCCTCAGCAGCCAGAAGAGTTGAAGAGCATGGGTGTATACAGCACAGTGGTGTTGTGGTTAGCACATCTGCCTTGCAGCACTCAGAGTACCTCATTTGAACACCGGCCAGGTCACTATCTGCAAGGAGTTTGCATGTTCTCCCTGTGCTTGCATGGGTTTCCTCCGGGTACTCCAGTTTCCTCACACACTCCAAAGACACGCTGGAAGGTTAATTGGTTCCTCTCAAAATTGTCCCTGTATGTATGCATGTGTGACAGGGACCTTAGGTTGTAAGCTCCTAGAGGGCAGGGACTGATGTAAATGTGCAACTATGTAAAGTGCTGCGTAATGTGTCAGCGTTATATAAAGAACAGAGTACAATACCTTCCATGATAGGGGTCTTCAAAAACATGTCTTTATAAGTACCAAGAACTGTCTGTATAAAGTTTCCCATAGCCACCAATATTCTGGACCAGGGCTGAATCTGATTTGTACCTCTGAGGTAAAATACAGTTTTAAAGACCAACTCTAGGAATTACACAAAAATGACCCTTGTTCCTTGCAGGCCCCCCAGACTACAAGATTTACATGTCTAGTAGAGGAATAAGCTGTAGAACTTGCCTTATTTCTCTCTTCGGCATGCTTCCTCCATCTGTGCGACGGGTCCCCGCAGCCTCTTCTCTAAGACTCTCCGGCTGGTGGTCACTCGCTGACATCATCAAGTACAATCCAGCGCCAATAGCCTTGCATTTGTGTATAGGGGGGGGGGGCAACTTCCCAAAACCCACAGGGTCAGAGAGAAGAGGAGAGCGCCGGAGTCTACCGGAGCAAGGAATACATTATTTTTACAACTTGTTCCTCTACCCCCCAAACTTAAACATTTAACCCTTGCAGTGCATGGGAACCTCAGCGCAAAAATAATTTCTGTGTAATCCCCAGAGTTGGACTTTAGGTACTGTCACCATGATACATAGTGACACAAAGAAGAACTCTCATATCACAACACTTCTTGAGGCTGTTTTACTAAAGGTGTTGAGAATCTCAGCTCAATAACTTGCGTGTGTAGGGGCGAGCTCAGGTTTAGTCTAGATTTGACTTCTTTCGAAATCGGAAGCAAGCTTTCTCTGCTGGCCCAATCACCTGTGACCAGGTGCGGGGATATCGTTAATTTTATACGGCCACATCAATGTAATTGACCAAATATGGTCATGTGGCCATATATGGTCAGTGATGTCACCAGCATCCTGTACCTTTGTTTATTTGCAGGGCGGGGCATCCCTTGGCTGCAGCTGTTTGGGCCGGTACTGACATCTTTCTTCCGGGTTTGAAAGAACTCAAATCTGGACTGACATTGATCTCATCTCTAATGATGTGAATGTTTAATTCAATTATCTGAATATGTGAATAGCAAATTATTTTTCACTTCGAATACCCGATTCATGTGCAGATGAAATAAACCGGAATTTGCTTTTCACATTGATTGGATAGTGGAATATTCACACAATTTATAAAGTGAAGATTCTAAATTCTCTTTACCTTTAGTAAATAAGCCACATTCTCTCTCACTCGCAACACGGGGAAGGCAGGTCTCATCACAAGGAAACACATGGGCACACACAACAAATGCCCCACCTGTCTCTCCCGCGTAAGTCCTCTTCTTGAGAGCGGCACGTAGTGCTTCGTTGAAAATCGGGCAGTTGGCTCTTGCTGTGTAACTCTCAGACCTAGGAGACCCAAGCTGTCCCAAAAGTGTAATTACATTCAAATTTAAACCTGCTCAGCCAAAAGTTAAAGTGACACCGCAATTACATTTTCCTGCCTGCACTGTCAAGAGAACACGATGCAATGAAGCCACTTTTCCAAAAGTGTTCCAACCCAGCCAGCTGCAGGAAGCCTTAGCAACGTCTTAGCAACATCACCATGGAAACAGCTTCCTCCTCAAAGGGCGGGAAAGTATAATGACAGCAGAGCAAGAGGGGCCATTTATCTTCTCACAGAAGAAAGGAGAAGGGGGGAGTTATATTTAGAGGGGCATCATCATTATCATCATAAGCAGAGCAGCGTGAGAAAACATGACCTGTAGATGTCATCTTCCACCAAATTACATATTGCATTATTTTTATCTCTTCGTCTTTGCAGTGCGTTTCCATGGAGCCGGCTTGTGAGAACAAGACTAGTAATCAGTGGTGACCATACATGACATTAATACAGCCAGTAGTACTGAATGCTGGTGGCCATGTTTTCCTAATGAGCTGCCATACCCAAAACGAACAATTTTCTCAAAGATCAGAGATATACGACACACATGATTATGATGTTCTGTATATTCATAAAAAGTTCTGGTAGTGTGTCAGAATACCAGAATCCACATTTAGTCCCTCCTTTATGGCTTTGAAATGTAGAATAATTTTAATCTCAAATGTTTTCCTTTCATACAAGTTTATAAAATTCCCTTTCAGTACTTTAATTTTGAGGTCTTGGATGGCGTGATCTTTCTGGGAGAAGTGATGTCCTACTGGGGTGCAATATATTTGTTTTCCTTGTGGTTATTGATCAAGCTCCTGTGTAGGTTCATCCTGAGATGCAGCTTAAGGCCAGTTTCCCCAATGTAACAACCTTTGTCACATGCTGATACACTGTATCATGTACACCACGTTGGCAAATGTGCCCATTTGCCAACAACCCCTTAACGGTGTACGTTATTTTATTGTGACTTGCTGTATTCTTGTCACATATATGTTGGCAAAGTTTCCAGCTGGGTTTTTTGCATTGCACTGCGCCATTCTGCGTCAGTTCTTCTTCTGGGGGTCAGCTTACTGCGTACCAATCTTCTTCTCAGGTTCAGTGGTTGCTTGAAAGCCAGTATTAGTGGCGGAGGGAATATTTCTTGAAGTATGGGGTCTTCTGAGAGTCCTGGCTGTAGATCTTTGATGATTTTGCATATTACCTCTAGAGTAGGGTTGTAGGTAACTATAAGAGGGGCCCTGGTTGTGTTTTTCTTCTCTTTGTACTGTAGGAGGCTTTCACGTGCTGTTCTTAGGGCAGATTTAATTTTTTTAGATATAGTCTTTTCCCTGTAGCCCTTTCGGTGAAATGCATCAGCCAGTGTGCTCCGGTGTTTGTCTCGGTCCTCAGTGTCAGAGCAAATGCAGTGATATCAGATTGCTTGGCTGTAGATGACACCCTGTTTAGTGTGATTTGGATGGAAGCTGGAATTATGGAGACCGTTATAGCACAATCCAGAAAAATAAACACACTGTGCTCTGAGAAATTAATTTCAAGTTTAAATCGATGGATGGAATGAATTGAATGATCCATGGAAATTTAAAAGGCCCACCTTGTTCCAATGGAAAAAAAACCAAACAGAAAGGGTTCACTGCAAGATAAGGGTTCCAGCTTAGACACTCCCCCCACAGAGGTGATATCTACAAGAAAAAACATCTAGTGGGTGACAGAGATATGAATGTCTCTAATGGGTTCATAAGGCAGTTTTTGTAGCACAGAGAGAATCAGATTCAGGTCCCATGTGGAATGTCACTGGGGAAAGAATGGGAAAGTTACCACTGTACCCTTCTCCCCTGCGGAGACCCCCTGTATACAGGTCCTAACCAAAGTGCGAGAGGCCAACAGTCTTTGAAAAAGGATACAAAGGGCAGAAACCTGATCTGATTGTGCCGAGAGCCAAACACTGGCCCAGACTTAGCTGCAGAAAGGGGAAGATGTGTCCCAATAAAAAAAAAAAATCCTAGGGTGAAAGCCCCGAGACTCAAACCAAGTTATGTCCATGTTTCAGATCTAAGGATAGACATTGCAGGAAGCAAACTTCCTAGCTTTAAGCAGTACAAGAATCACAGACTGATCTTGCAGAGGAGACAAGGAAGAAGTTTCAGAGAGGAAATGCAAGGATGAGGGCGTAATGATTCCACGCTGCTGCCGCTAGGAGATCTCTGTACCTAGACACAAACCTGTTCAGTTGTGGTACTCTGGTGTGATTTACCCTGCCACATGTGGCAGAGCAGGACTGTCCCTCCATATCTACATTTAGAAATGTTGCAACCGCATAGTGTTAAGGCAACATATAGGCTCAGGGTAAGAGGCAAGACCTCAGGTACTCGCAAAACCTAAATATAAACAGGTGCAGGTCAGACTAAAGTCACTGTAGGGAGGTAGCAGGAACAGATCGAAGGAACTTTGCTGAAAAGGGGGGGAGGGGAGTGACTTTAGAGGCTGCACAACACTTCACCTAGCAGATGGCATCAGCACTCACAGCAAAACTGTTGGAAAGTGGGGAATAATGGCAGCCAGCGACCTGTGTAAAAGGAGGTAGCTTGGCCCGACCAGCCTACTCACCGAGTCCTTAGGCCTAGTTCACACCTGAACTTTTTTAGCGCGTTCAACGCTCGAACGCTCTACAAAACGCTCAAACATCTAAATCCCATTGTATTCAATGGGTCTGGTTCACACCTTGCCGTATTTCCGCCCATTCGAACGCGATACAAAACGGCCTACGCCCAAAGAAGTACATGTATCGTGGTAAAAACGCGCATATTCAATACGCCTAGGTGTGAACCCAGCCTTAGAGACTGGGCAAGTGCGGAGGCGGTGCCAGCCGCTCAGGACGACAAAAGTGTTTCATAGCTATACCAAAACAGAGTCTGAAAAGGGCCCCACGTGGAACCCAATGCCTGAAGGTCACTTCCAGACTATGCCTGCAATGTGAGGAAGCAATACTTTAACCAGGCTAAAGACAACCAGCGGTCAAATTTGAAGGGGAAAAAAAAGTAAATATTTTAAAAAACAGTACCAGGAACAAAAACAGTACCATCCTTAACATAGCAGAGCTGAAGAAAAGGGGTCTAACCTTCAAGAACACTAACAAAAATGTGAGGCATGTTAGTAGGAAGAGTTATCCTGGGCTGCCTTACATTTTTTATTTTGTTCGGCAGTGTCCAATCCTCCAGTAGGCGGCACTATACACCAGACTTAAAGCTCTGGAAATCGACAATATGATGGGCTTATATTAAAAATATGCTTAAGTGTATGTTTAAATAAATGTGTAATACAAGCACATTTGCCCATGTTTTGACCTGTGCACAGTGTTGATCCTGCCAGAAATAGTGAGGGGAATTTAACAAAAATGGAGCAGGCAAAATCTGGAGCAGATATGCATGACAACCAATCAGCTTCTCTCTTTAGTTTGCTCAGTTAAGATTTGAAAATGAGAGAAGCCGATTGGCTGCCGTGCACAGCTGCTCCAGATTTTGATAAATTCCCCCCAGTATGCTCCTAATGATGAGCTTGAGCTTTCACTGCAGCAGAGACTATGTTATTTGTTCAGGAAATGTTAGTTTTGCCTGCTGGACAACAAAATGTCACATCTCCATACCATAAGGAGGTGTTCTGTAGTCCAAAAGCGGATACCTGGGCAGGGATGACAGCAATGTTTGGTATTTAAGTGCAGTAAAGGCAGCATTGTTATCTCATTACTGGAAGTTAGAAGCTTACTGGATCATCTCTCAGGATCGGAAGGTTTTATTGTACTTGCAGTATTTTTAACCACTTCAAGACCAGGTGTTTAGACCCCCTTCCTGGCCAGGCCATTTTTCAGTATTCAGCGCTGCAGTACTTTGACTGACATTTATTCCGTCATGCAGCGCTGTACTGAAATGAATTTTACACCATTTTTTTGGGGACAGATAGAGCTTTCTTTTGGTGGTATTTAATCACCACTGGGGGTTTTATTTTTTATTATAATTAGGAAAAATTACTGAAAATTTTGAAAAAAAAAAAACACGTTTTTTTTAACATTGTTAGGAAACATTAATTATTAACCAGTTTTTTGGTCAAATATAAAAGATCGGGTCACGTCGGGTAAAGAGACACCAAACATGTCAAGCTTTAAAATTGCGCGCACCCGCGACATCGCAGAAAACGACCGCAACCAAAATTAGCCATAGACGACGCTTTAAACGTTTTTACCGCTCATCAGTTTAGTGTTATCAGTGATTGATGGCCCTAGACTGGGGAGCTTCCTGCTGACCTGTGTGGTGAAAAAAGGGAAAACAAATCTCGTGTGGTGAGACACAGCCGGTGTGGCAGTTGATTGAATAGGGAGATAGGGGCAGCACAAGGTTGCACCTAGTGGGTAGTGAGGGATACCGTGTGTAAAGTAAGTGGCCAACAGGCCAGGATTTATTTTCATGTTTTGCTCAACTTTTCTTGTAGCTAATTATGAGTAAACTGCACGCGTGTTTCACCCGAAGCAATCCTTGTTTGCGGTGCCTAAATTTCTGTGGTGTGAAGCCATCAGGGGGTGTCTGACACACACACGTGAACAGATTGTTGAAAAGATAGTTCCCTGGCCGTCATGCTGATCCAGGGGCTTTTATAAGTCAATGGCCTTACTTGATCTGTACAATTGTCCTGAGTCAATGGCTCAAATTAAAAAAAAGGAGAACTATGAGGCGAGGGCTTTTCACTCACCTCATAGTTCTAGCCGACCTGTGACAATGAGACTGTCACACGTCGGCTCATTAGATCGGGAGGTGAGCAAACATATACCGGCTCTATGCTGTGACAGGGGAGGGGCTGGAGCAGAGCTGAAGCCAAAACATTTTTTTAGTTTTGGGGAGAGTAAGGGCTCTTTCACACCATACGCGTTCGGGCTGAGCTGGCTGTTTTTGCCAGCGCAGCCCGAACGTAAGACAAGAACATTTTGACTTGGCGTGGGTGGGCCCTATTTAATCAAATGCATTTTGGTGGCGTGTGCTAAAAACAAAGTACAGTTTTGTTTTTTTTACCGCACCAGTGAGCCCATACAATTTTTTGAAATGTCACTTGTGACATTTCAATAAGCTTTTAAAAAAAAACCAGCAGTGCAATGCGGCTCAATCCTCTGGGCACACTCGGGACCGGATTTACTCTCCCTGCAGCCCCAAGGCCAGGTTCCACGATAAGCACGCCCCCCCCTTTCTATCAATGGAGAATGGCAACCAGATGGCAGGGCGGCAGGGTTAGTTCAATTTTTTTTTAATTGACGGAGCAGCGGGGTTACCTTTAGAAGGAGAACTATGGGGTTAGGGCTTTTCCCCATAGTTCTCCTTGGGTAACGGGAGGACACAAACTAGCGTCCTCCCGTCACCCTAAGCTCAGTATACTGAGACGCCGCAGCTGAAACGGATCCCGACAATTATGTCTGGATCCGCACAGCTGCGTGAGTGACAGCTGGCTCTGCCTATCTAGAGGCAGAGCCAGCTGTACCCACCCCCTCCCCCGTCCGTTCTGCTAGTCAGCGCTGGTAGATCGGAGCGGGGAGGGAGGAATCCAGCCCCTCCCAGTCACGGCAGAGAGCTGTGACAGGATTAAGTGAGCGAACGCCAGTATGCCACCTCCCGATCTACTGAGCCGACCTGCGACAGTCTGTCACAGGTCGGCTAGAACTATGAGGTGAGTGAAAAGCACTCACCTCATAGTTCTCCTGTAACCCTGCCGCTCTGCTCACTGCAGTGAGGAGACGGACTCGGCGGTGGAGCCCGGAACCAGAGGAGAGAGGTAAGTGCAGGGGGGAGGCGAGGAGGCTGCAGACTGTTTACATGTGATCTCGGCGACATCGCCGAGTTCACATGTAAACGAACAATCGGCTGCCTCACTCTACATTTAGTCCTGCTTGTGCAAAGCAGGACTAAATGTAGAGAGGGTAACTTACCTCCCGACGGCCGAAACTTCCCCACAAGGACACCGCTGCCGCCCCTCTGCGCCCCGAGGCCGGGCCTCGGTGGTTTTGTGTGGAATCCGTGCCTGGGCACACTCACACCAGCGGCTGTGTGGTTGAGCGCAATTTTTGGTATATACAAGCCCTGAGAGAGGGTCATCAGACCTAGTGCCCCCACTGAACAATTTCCCCATCTATTGCTGTTCGGATGACAACCCAAACTTGAGATTTTCTTTCACTTTCAGTGATATGGTCACCAGGACACATAGGGAGGGTAAATCTCACTAATGGGGACACAGAGAGCAATAAAAGTGTCGGCTTCAGTTGCACTTTAAGTAGGCCTGAGAAAACGCAATGGCAGTCGGCAACCCAATGGCAGTCGGCAACCGTAGTCTACCTAATTTGCGCTCTTTTAAGACAATTCCAAAGAAGACTCCGGCAAATACACAAATTGGTTCTTTAAATCTGTGTTTTATTACCATTATTTTTGCATTCCAGCGCATATATTCGAGACAGCAAAAGCATCACACAGAAAATTGTGTCAGCCATCCAGGATCCACCCATCCTAGTGAACCCAGCTTCAGTGATGTAATATTAAAGTGTAAAATTTCTGATACTGACGTTTACAAAAAGGGAGTTTGTACTGCGCGCGCAGTACAGTGTATAAAACAAGGCCTGTATACAGCAAGGATAGAAGGGAGAAAAGGGGGTTTCTTCACAGCTCCAGACGGCAGATCCCGATCCCTCTCATGAGTACATGGTTAGCTGCAGCCACTGAAAGAAAGTCCGATAGTAAGATAATGAGGACACAGCAATATACAACAATATGCAATACATCTGAAGATCTGCTACACTCACCTCTTGAATGGTCACTTTAATCTTGCCATCTCCGTCTTTATCCAAAGCTTTAAAAGCGCCTGCAAAACCAAAGAGAGCCGTCAACACTCAGCTCTAAGTTAGAGTAGATCTAAGCCCAAATCATTACAAGTACAAGCTTCAGCACATTAATGTGATTTCAAATGTTGCTTTCGATCTTTAAACCCCTTGCCGCAAACACCCGCTGGCCGATGTCTTAGGCGGAGACCGGGTCATGTGACCACTGTGATTGGCTGTCAAAATCAATCGCATGATCTGGAGCCCATCGCACTGGCTCCCAATCATTTACAGTGACCGGGAGCGGTCTGTGACAGCTCAGTCAATGTGCTGGGAGCTTGTCCTCACACAAAGAGCAAAGCCTCATGTGCGTATAAATGCATCAGCCTGGCATTAAGGTCCACTCACCGTGCTGTCGCATATGTGTGTTCCACCATCATGAAGCGGTTAAAATCTGCAGCTTTCATTGAAGTAATATCTAGTTATCATGCTATGAAGGACTTTATTACCTTCTACTAGATTGTAAGGTCTCATGAGCAGGGCCCTCCTAACCCTCCTGTATTGAAATTGTATTGTAACTGTACAGTCTCCCTCCATTTTGAAGAGCGCTGTGCAAACTGTTGGCACTATATAAAGCTTGTATAATAATAATTCAGGTATTTCCTGTTAATGGGTAACCGCTGTCTCACAATTGCCATCTTTGTCACCCTGTAACATGTACCATTGGTGGAGACTAGGGGGAAGACGCAGTATATAAATGTTCTCCCCAGCCATATGCTGGGTGAATGCCATTGTCACACAGCATTCCAGCCACTAGATGGAGCCGCTCCTCGGCTCCATCTAGTGGCAGACATGCCGTGCTAGCCCAGTGTATGGCTGGGGGAACATTTATAAATAATCTCCTAAAAGTGGCAAATTGTGCAAACATGGTCCACTTGTCACCTTCAGGAAGCTGGTCCAGAGGAATGAGGTGCAGCTGTAGTGAAATCATGTTGGCTGGAAGTGGCAGTGAAACTCTGGAGATCAACAGCACTGACAACGGTTACCTAGATAGTGTTTAGATCTTCTAAAAAGGGTTTTTTAGGATACCAACACATTCATCCAACCCCTGTTGTACCTTCTTAAAAATTCAACATTTCTCAGATGTCTTTTGCTGCAACATGGCAACTATAACGGATTATTAGTCCAATGTTATATTCTTCCTGCACCTGAGTGGGCACGCAGCACAGTCACATTTGTAATTCTTATCTAGAGGGTTTATAAGCACAAGTGTTCTGCGAATGGAGGACAGGTGGATAAATGACAGGATCCGCCTCCTCCAATCACGGACGCTTTGCATTCTGGGGAAAGTCCTGTGAATGGCCAAGGTGAGAGGAGGAAGGGGAGGGCAAGCAGCAAGGATAATTTACAGTCCCTGACCTTAACCCCTGCGAGCCAGAATATCAACACTGGGGAGAATCTGGCATCAGGGAAGATTTCTAGACGAAGCAGCAGCCAGCAGGACACATTTCAATAAGGTTCAGTTATGTCTCTGATGCTGTGTGCCCCCCCAAAAATCTATCTACCTTCAGCTTTTCATAGCTGGGGGTCAATAGGGGTACTCTAGTATTGGCAGTTAGCGTGGCTGATCTCTGAAGTTGGGGAACATTAGACCCCAGTAGCAAAGTTAAACTAAATCAATGTTGTGAAAAATAGGGGAAGGTGGTTGTAGTCCTCTCCTTGGGTGACAACTCTAATTCATAACTACAGCAGGGTGAGAGAGCATTGTCACCCTAGGACAGAAGTGTATTATTGTAGCATGACCAGGTGGTAAGCTGCAATATATTACACTTTTGTTCTTGGGTTTAGATACACTTTAACCCCTTCATGACTGAGGCCCTTTTTTCAATTTTTGCACCCATGTTATATTCCACATTTTAGGCCTGAAAATGACGTAAAACCCCCCAACATTATATATTTTCTGAATGCCAAGACCCTATAGAATAAAATGGTGGTAGTTGAAAATTTTTATGTTGCGCAATATTAGCGCAACTCCTTATTAAACCCCAAAATTTAGTGACAAATTTAATTAAATGCCCCAAAACATTGGAGAGGTATACACACACCGCATAAGAGGGTCTCATCTAGGTGTTTATCTGTGACAGATTATTGTACACCAGGCTGCGCTCAACCATGACCAGGTACAGTTTTGCTCAGTGACGCACCCAAAGCCTGTCATAAAGCTCTCTGGTCTAAATGATCGACTTTCAGTAAAGTAGGAGGAGAAGTTACACAGAACCAGTTATATTGCTGCACAGGATACTCGCATAAATGATGAATAAGAATGCCAAATTCTAAATGTACACATACAATCAAATCTAGAAGATCTACAGAACAGTAAATTGTGTGTCATGAGAAAAATATGTGAATTGCTACCGATTGGCCTCCTTCTGAAAACGCTGAAATGCAGGAGGGGCAGTGGAGCCCGGGAAGCAAGGCAGGGAGTGCCGGGCAGGGGCACAGTTTACCGGCCGCTGGAAGTGATCATGTGACTTTACAGCCAACTGAATTGCTTCCACTGAAAAGCAGACAGACAGCCCTAAACATTTAAACAGATTACCGGAGGATATAGCTGCCAGAGGTCTGTTCACAGGGGCCTGCTGCTGCCAACGTATAGCCATACGTCAGTGCCAGTGAAAGGGTTAAAGGAAGGGAATAGTAGAAGCAGGATACTAATTCTTGCAGGCTTAAGGTAAAAACTAGGGATGCACAGATACCAGGTTAAGGTATCCGATACGAGTACCGATACATATATTTTTTTTTATCGGTACTCGCCGATACAGAGTGCTAATGCCAGCATCTCGGGGTAGCATGGGCCCGGCTTCCCGACCAGGAATCCAGGCTGCCCCCAGTGTCGCTAGGCAGCGTGAAGCCAGCTTCGCAGCCAATCAGAAAGCCGGGAGGCAGGTCATGACCCCGCCGCCCAGCTTCCTAATTTGCCAGGAAGCCAGCTCCCTCGCGGCACTGCCAGTCAGAGGGAATCTCCCGCTGTCCGTCAGTTCTGGTAACGGGGGAAGTATCGGAGCATTGGGGCGAGTGCTGGTACTCGCCCAAATGCTCACTATTGTCACCGATACTAGTATTGGTGCATCCCTAGTAAAAACATTAAAGTCGGGAAGAGCAGGACATTTTGATCACGTACGGAACATGGCGTCTAGTCGCACAAGACAGCAGATGAAGTTGTCAAAGTCCATTTCTCCTTTCTCATCAGAATAACGTCGAACGATCATCTGATAGAGCTCACCATTTAACTGGAAACCTAAGACAAAAAAAAAAAAAAGTGTTTAATTAATGGGCTGCCCTGATTATATGATGGTGACAAAACAAATCCTACCTCTACCGGACTACCTCAACTTTGATCAGAACTCAGCCGATTCCTCTACAGAATTTTTTTAATGGATATAAACCAAACAAAATGGAAATGTTGGACCCCTGGTGCTTTTTGCCATAACGCGAACGTATGCACAGCATGTTTGCATGTTATGGGCCTACCTACCAAGCCTGTGATGTACCCATTTCAATCTTCACCCAGTGTTCTTGCAGGTTCGAAGGCTTTGGTCATCATAAATGTAATGATGCAAGGATGATTTAACAACTTTACCATAGTGGGTGTCACTGTTGGCACCCTTCTGCTCGGCATCACTCAATCAAAAGATCAATGGAGCTGGTTGGAAAATCTTCAGTCGAATGGTGCTTGCAGATCAGCTGCAAGAACCATTCAGGTATTCTGATAGCAGCCACTGGCCATTGTCAGAATATAATAGAAACAGAAAATTCATCCAGAGAAATCTGTTATATTTTTTTGATCAGCCTGCAGGCTGCTTGGTATATGGCTAGCTTTACGCTTTCCAGCCAGTCACGCCAAGACCATACACTGAGCCACGCATTCGCAGCTCAGTGTACAAACAGACAAAAGTGCTGACAGCATCTATGACAGAACAGACATACACACGCTTCTGCTTTTCTGGCAACATTAGTAAACAGACGTTGCCAGTTTATGTCCAATCAGCAAACATTCCATTTTTCATACAAACCTTTATTACTTTTGCCCACCTTCACTTGTTGCACAAGGAGCAGATATGCAAAGGATGTTCTTTGCATCCATACTGTGCATCAATCATGGGACAATAGTTTCTATGTGCATTAGCAGTGACTGGCATTGCTCCTTTCACAGATACGCCAGTCACTGTATAGGCGGACAGACCGTAAAGAACAACTATGGATAACTAACTTCTGTCCAGCTTGTAAAATATAACCATTACAGAGGTTGGGGTGTTTATCAGTTCATTAGGAGTACAAGCCTAGGCATTTCCACATTTGGAGTGACAGTTTACACATTTGATAGAAGCATTGATATCAATCACAAATCCAAGATCATCTGAAAAACTTCAGGAGGTGGCTGTTGTAAACCAGACGTCAATTACCTTTAAAATGATAATGGTTACTCACCAGCTGCTTGGAAAGAATTGGGTAGTTCGGTGCTGCCAATTGTTCCGGAGCGATCAACATCATATCGCTTATATACAGCCTGAAAGCAAAGTACAAGATGGCTAAAAAGGAAAATGTGTATAACATGGCTGGAAGGGAAACTATATATGGTTGTGTCAATTTCATTTTTTTTTTTAAAGTGACATTAAAAAAGGAGAACTATGGTGTTAAGGCTTTTCCCATAGTTCTCAGGGTAACGGGAGGACACAAACTAGCGTCCTCCCGTCACCCTAGGCTCAGCTACAGCTCACGGTATACTGAGACGCCGCAGTATACCGCAAGCAGCTGCTCGCAGGAAATTATGACGTCGCAGCTGAAGCGGATCCCGACAATTATGTCTGGATCCGCCCAGCTGCGTGACTGACAGCTGGCTATGCCTATCTAGAGGCAGAGCCAGCTGTACCCGCATCCCCCCCCGTCCGTTCTGCCAGTCAGCGCTGGCGGATCGGAGCGGGGAATCCAGCCCCTCCCACGGCAGAGAGCCGTGACAGGATTGAGAGGTGAGCGAATGCCGGTATGTGTTCGCTCACCTCCCGATCTACTGAGCCGACCTGTGACAGTCTCAGTGTCACAGGTCGGCTAGAACTATGAGGCTGAGTGAAAAGCACTCACCTCATAGTTCTCCTTTAAAGTCACATTCCCCTCCCGTCCCAATGCTGCTTTAAGGACTTACCTTAAATGAGGCCTCTTGATCCGATCATCTTCTTTCCAGTAGTTTTCAGGAGACCCTCCAGCGCTGGTGCCGCTCTCTGATCCAGCGCAGACTCCTCAGGTCCCACGGAGTCTGTCCGCATGCACACTGGCAGCTGCGTGCATTGACTTGGACTCTTCTCCTGGTTAAAGATCTCTACTGCGCATGCACCCACCCCATAATTCTTCATGACCGTTTGAGAGTTTTGCAGATCTTCGGACAGGAGCGAGCGGCAGAGGCGCAACAGTAATAACCTTTTTGGTGACTTTTAAAAAAATGTTTTTGCATATATCTACTGCTTGCTATGCGAAAGATTTTCACTCTAAACAAACGCATAAACAAGAAGTGGTCAGGATCTGGTTTTATGTCGCAGTGCTACTTTAGAGCAGCTGAGGGAGGAATATGACCCAACCTTGCAATAAATCTCATTGCTCCTGCTCAGCACTGCTTTGCCATGCGACAGAATAAATAAATGTTCCCTATGGAGCCCTATAAACAAAGGGCTTCTTAAGCACAGGTGAGAAGGAATCATACGATTGATGAAAAAAGGAGGATAGAGCTCCACCTACTGGCTGAGGGCCCGTTCACACCAGATACAGTGCGTTCTGGCCCGATTCTAGCCGGCTAACTTTTTTGTGGGGCAGGAGGGGGCGTGGCAGGCCATTGAAGTGAATGGCACTGTAGCCATGCCCTCCGGCCGCAATGCGATCAGCCGCACGGGATCGCAAGGCACATTATGCCTAGGTCCGGTCTGATCAAAATGCTGCAAGCATAATGTGACTCCCATGCGGCCGGAGGGCGTGGCTACGGTGCCATTCACTTCAATGGCCCGCCACGCCCCCTCCAAAATTGTATTTCTTAATCCAGGCCATCATAATAAATAATAAACCCTTGAACACTTATTGGACATGATGAGCACAAAGTGGACAAAAAGGTTAATGAGCATGATTTCTTTAAAATAAAAAAAAACCAATAACTGCCAAAGATTACTTAGGTATGATTGTCAATATCCCATCTAACCAGTCTCCTCCTATCATTATATGTCACTAGATTTCTTTCAGCATCTCTCACTATGTGCAGGTTGGGGTCCAATGTACACGTATGTGGTGACGGTTCTTCCTGGAGAATCCCATTATCTTTATATTTTACAGAGAAAAGGAAATTGTGTCACATCACCAGCTCACCTGCCACTTCTTGATGTTATTCCACAAGTATTTGAACTCTTCGAAGCCAAGTTTGCCAGTGCTGTCACTCTGCATTGCGGTGTTAAGTCATAACAGATAAAGCAGAAATGTTTTGTTTAAAGAAGGCTTGCTACCCACTGGGAGGCCGCAGGAAACAAACGCACGACACCGCTCCAAGCTCGCTCCTGTGATGGACTACAATCTCAATACAAATTAGTAAACTAAACATGAGATTGTAGTCCATCACAGGAGCGAGCTTGGAGCGGTGACTACTTTACAAAAAAAAGTAGCCCCCCTCCAGAAGGAAGGACAGTGTCAGCACCAATTCAGAGATGAGTTGAGGATCTACAGCTGAGTGATACACAAATAAGAGACAGTATTGTTAATAGTTAAGAATGTATTTTTAAAGTTCGACTCCTGAGTTCGACTCCTAACCCTTTTAATAGGCTCAGCTTTATTGCCCTGTAGCTAGTATAGAATGCATCTTTTGAGATGGACAATGGCTATTTTCATTATTCTGAGACCAATGGCTCTTAAAGTGTGTGTCAAGGCAAAATAAAACCATGAGAGATTGTCACAGGAGTGAGCTTGGAGCGGCGGCTACTTTACAACACACACAGGGACCATGGGGAACAAAAGTAGCCCCCCTCCAGAAGGAAGGTCAGTGTCAGCACCAATTCAGAAATGATTGAGGATCTACAGCCGAGTGATACACAAATAAGATCCATTTTTGATAATAGAGAAGGTATTTGAATGCATTTTAAAGATTTAACTCCTGAGTTTAGTGGATGTATCCCTTAGTTTTTACGGACAAGGCGGAAAAAACTGAGGTAAAGAGATATTCCAATTAAAGGAGAACTATGAGGTGAGTGCTTTTCACTCACCTCATAGTTCTAACCGACCTGTGACAATGAGACTGTCACAGGTCGGCTCAGTAGATAGGGAGGTGATCGAACACATACCGGCGTTCGCTCACCTCTCGATCCTGTCACGGCTCTCTGCCGTGACAGTGGAGGGGCTGTATTCCCCTCTCCCCGATCCGCCAGCGCTGACTGGCGGAACGGACGGGGGAGGGGGCAGGTACAGCAGATAGGCAGAGCCAACTGTCAAGTCACGCCGCTGGGCGGATCCCGGCATAATTGTTGGGATCCGCTTCAGCTGCGGCATCTCAGCATACCACGAGCTGCAGCTCGCGGTATACTGAGCCTAGGGTGACGGGAGGACGCTAGTTTGTGTCCTCCCGTTACCCTAAGGAGAACTATGGGGAAAAGCCTTAACCCCATAGTTCTCCTTTAACAGCTCCTCTTAAAAAAAAAAAACATTTAAGATTAGAACATCTACAGTCAGGGAAAGAATGGACAACCACTAGGGTTGCCTGGTGATGCTGTGCATACAATCACATGGGAAAAAAAAAAATACCACATCGATCTACAAATCTAAATGCGGTCAAAAAGTTATATGAAAAATAACTGCACTAACTGTAAACCATTAAATCAGGTCTTCTATAGCAAAGTGTTTGACGGAAGAGCTCTCTCTACTTTGACACCAAGCAGACAAGATTCTCCCTTTGCAGTGTGCGGATAATACAAATCTGATTGGAAGCAATGAGGCAATCCAGACTTTGAGAGGTTTTTTTTTTACACTTTGTGAGAAAAGACCACATGTGACCTTGGGAACACTTGGTTGCTAAAAGGAACACCTTGCCCAGCCATGTACTCTAATCCTTGAAGGATACATCCATTACGGCCACCATGCTGCGACATGAGTCATTGCTAAAACCGTCTGTCTTCAGATCCGCATCTAGTAGAAGTAGAGAACATGTATAAATATAGGCATTAGGAACTTACTTTACAAGAACGTTAGTCACTGTGCAGTACAATATTCAGATACAATATAGACTCTATAGACCAGTGGTTCTCAACCTGTAGAACCTCAGAATCCACATTTGTCCTTGGTCATGAAGTCGCACCACACCTGAACGCACGGCATTGCAGTGCCACATGTTCAAACTGTGGGCAGGAGATGTGTTTAGGGTGCCATTCAAATGAATTGCAGCGCAACGCACCAGAACGAACAGTGAGTGATTGCGTGGTAGTTTGTGATGAAAACACTGACAGACACACAACCACAGACATTCTCACACACACACACTCCAAAAACATTTGAGGGGCTCAGTGTGGGCTGCTGTGGTGTGACGGATTTCCAGCCATATGTGCATTGCTTGTACAGCTCCCTTGTACGGCCTGTAGAGGTGCCGGGAGCCAGAATGTGATGTCACTCCGGTCACACGAGAGGGCTGTAAGCATTGCACGTATGGATGGCGCTCCCTCGCGGCCATACCTCCAGCCCACCCCACCTCAAGCTGACTCTGATGTTGAGGAATCTCTCACCTAGAGCAGTGGAAGGCATGTGGCGGCCCACTGAACATGCTGACCTCGACCTGTGGGGTTAATCTCTTGCATTTCTCATCTAACAGTAGTTAAGTGATGTGAATATGGGTGATCGGGCTAATGGGTAGGCAGCTTCTGCAACCCAAAAGATCTCCATAGTTCGCTTGGCACAGACAGTGTAGATGTAGAAAGAGCCACACCAATTAAAATGGTGCAAATAAAACTTTACTTTAACGTCTTCATGACTCTTATGGAATAGAGTAGCCATCACTTTTTGGGGGACTGAAACACACCCTTCATCGGGGCTTATTGAGAGAAATCATGTATGTGGACTACAATCATTGTAGCTTGAACATTGTATTGTGTTGTGATGGAGGTATTTCAGGCTCATCATTTCCATTCCCAAACCTGGCACAGCACAGGTGCACTTAATTATAATCCTGTACAAACCTGGGCGATTCAAACAAAAATGCATATAGCAACAGAGGTTGCTGGTCCTCTACACTGTGCCAGGTTCAATTTAAGGTCACACCTATAGCAGCAAACATTCATTTTCTCTTTGCCCCCTCCCAGCTTTGTTTGTTTGGTTGCAGGGAGTGAAGAAAACTACCCGGATATGGGACAGCATACGTCTCATTCCTATTGCTCCCATGTGACTGCACTGCTGTTTGGTGATTGGCTTATCTGTCACACACAGGAGAAAACAGTCTCATCCTTGTGTAATACTGGCCATAAACCTACCGATAGTTTGGTTTAGGATGCATGCAGAACAAAATATAACAGATTTCTCCATCCACTTTAAACAGAGTGGACTGAGGAATCTCCTGCTTAGGTTACTGTAGCAGGACACTTAGTTCCACCGGCCGTCAGCGCTGCATCCTATTGGATGCTGCGGCTGTTCGACCATCAATTTTCTGCCTGGCTCCTTCGATCTTTTAGTTGAAGGATTTTGGGTTGGAGGTGACACACAGGGCCACACACTAAGCAAAATATGCTCAGTGTATGGCCAGCTTAAGCAGTCACAGCTTGGAGCCGAGACGGAGTCAACTCCCCCTTGCTCCTGGTAGCCAAATACAGCAGTGGTGGTGAAACAAAAGTAAGCGGAGTATGTGCAGTTGGAGTTTTAGTGAACCTGTGGCTTAAAATGAAGGAGCAAATATTCGTATTTACACGATCACAATGTTCCTGAGAAAACTTACGTTTTGCAATTATTTTGTTGAGGATTCCCATCAGCTCTGTCGCGCTGACTTCCATGTCCTGTAAGAAGACAAGGCTCAATGACACAGCAGACAGACATTCCAGGTAACACAGAAAAACCTCCCAGAGACAACAGCATGTCTACTAATTCGGAGTCACAAGAAATCAAATGGTGCCACACAGAAAGGAAAACCCGCGTACTCACTTCTCCGGCCAGCTGATTGAAGATTCTCCGGAACTGACGATCTTCATCGCTCTCACTGGACTGAGTAACTGAAGGATGGGTTCTGGGAGGCTGAAGAGAGAGCAGGGAGGTTAGACAGCAATGAGGTGACAAGCACCGCGTTGATGTGACAGGTAGTCAAACACAATGGAATGCTTTCAAAATATTGTGACTGAAATAATGTGGACCGGAGCTCAAAAAGTGAAGATTTGCTGTGTCATAGGGTGCATTTAGAAAAAGTTATTTGTGCCTACGCAGTACCCTGAACATGAACCCTTTGTCTTGAATCTCTTATGAAGAATAGCAGTGCACTAGACACTCCTGTATTGTAGGGTGTCTAGGCACTCCTGTATTGTAGCCTCATAGCTGTATATCTGCAGTGCGAGATCCAAGGAACTGCTGACTCCAATTGCTAGTCTCAGGAGATTTGGTGACGTTACTACTGTGCTGTTCACTGTTCTCCTTACTGGAGGCTCTGGCGTGAGGAAGCAAAGCCCTGCATCTACCAAGATGTCCACCTCCACACACAGAAACAGTGCAAAACAAAGCATGGCAGGTCAGAAATGGAAAAACATCAGCTGCGGGGGGGGGGGGGGGCACACGGG